TGCAAGCAAGGGAACCTGGACGGCGTGCGAATCCGAATCCAGGAACTCTTGCAACCAGGGCATCGGAACGAGCGCGGCAACAATGGCAAGCGTGGCAGTGAGAGCACTCCATCCGCCAGGGGATACAAGCATCTCCGACACCAGGGCAGCTCCATCGTGAGGAATCTGTAGGGACGGGGGCCGCAGCCACACACGTGCAGACAAGGGAGCTGGCGCTATACCTTTCACCGCACTGTCCACAACAGCTTGCTTCAGCATGATCATTTTCGGCGGGGGTGTCACAGGACCACAGGAGCGTGGCAGGTCCTGCTCTATCTTGTTTGCTGCTGCTTCTGCGACAGCGGCAGGGAGTTCCAGGCATGCCTCAGCCGCCTCATCTCTGTGTGAGTATAGTCTGGTATTGTGTCCTCGTCGTGCACGATTGCGATCACTGTTCCTATATTCATTACCATTACTGCGATTGCGGTCGTGATGTCGAGTACTCACACTAGCACTAGAATACTGTTGACATGGCTGTTAACAAAATATAACAATCCCGAAGCCCTAAACCCTTAATATTGGTTTCAACCTACTTCCAATAATGCTTCGAGATGGCTAGGCCTGCGGCTGCCCCCAATCGTGTCAGGATCAACTCTTCTCTTTCTTAGGTTCAGAGGCGCAGGGGGCTCAGGGTTTCGAGTTTAAGGGTTGAGGGCTTAGGCTTTCTAAGATTACGACCTCGCTAGCCTCTAAGGATCAATCCATCGAATCCCCCAGAAGCCACGCACTTAACATGCCGATGTGCACTCCTCGAATCTCCCACGGGCCGATCAACCCTCGAAAATGCAAACCGCCGCTAAACTTAGCCGCTAATCCCTCAACTGACCCTATTCTGAGGAGTGTCGGGTTCAGGGTTTCGGGTTCAGGGTTTTAGGGTTTAGGGTTTCAGGGCTTTGGGCTTCGGATTTAGGACTGGATTTGGAAATAATTTGGGGGTTGGGTGAGTAATGTAGCGTTTAAGATGCAGAGATGAGGGACTCCCGAAACCCTAAATCTCAAACCATACCTTTACCCCCACCCCCAAAAAACCTACCTTGTTAGGGACGTATATAAAGAACCTATAGTACATAATGAGGAACCCTAAAAAGGTAGGCTATTGGTGTCCAGGTAAAGCCCGCTGTATATCAAGGCCTTAAGCAACTTAGCGACTCTCGCGGCCGGATCCGCAAGCTGAAAGGGTTCACCTACACCACCCAAATTGAGTAGGTGAGGTCCAGGGTTTAGGGTTTGGGGGTTTAGGGTTTTAGGGTTTCGGGTTTAGGCCCCCAAATTAAGTAGGTGAACAAGTGGCCCAACACCCGCAAAAGGCTATTGTTCTACATACTTTTTGGGTTCAGGGAGGGCTTAAGGCTTGGGGTTTGGGGTACTAGGTCGGGAAACCGAAACGCTCTTGAGGACGGTGGTGATACTACCGTAGACTATAGTTATATTCCACCAAGCAACGCTACTTTTGCGCGTTTCCGTTCAAGGGTACCTTTGGTCACTGTAGCCCGACCCAACACCCCAACATGTAGAATAAAGAGGCTCATCGGATAGCACTGAAGTCCGATGCGGGGTCATCGCACTGAAGGCGCCTACTCATCGGTCTCATACGATAGTCCTTGAGCGTCTGAGGCCCCAGCCGCAACAGCAGAACAGCGAAAAAGCACCATAACACGTCATACCATAGGACCATAAGCATGCCATCATCGTAGGATAGTGAAACCCTAAACCCTAAACCCTAAATCATCCATGACCACTCTAAACCCTAAACCCTAAACCATCCATGACAACCCTAAACCCTAAACCCTGCTGGCCCAACAGCTCCAGTCCAAGATCTGCAGCCTCTTCCCACTCCGGCGCACGTTTGGCTTGAAGGTGCAGCCCTGTAGCGCAAGGTGGGTGGGTGGGTGGGTTTAGGGTGTTAAGGCTTAGGGTTTTAGGGTTTAGGGTTTTAGGGTTTAGAGTTTTAGGGTTAAGGGTTTTAGGGTTTAGGGTTTAGGGCTTTAGGGCTTTAGGGTTTTAGGGTTTCAGGGTTTGGAGGTTTTGGGGTTTGGGGTTTTATAGGGTTTAGGGTTTGGAGGATTCAGGGTTTGTGGAGGGTGGACCACACCTACACTCATAAACCCATTAGCCACTGACGGATAAGCCCGAAGAGCCCTAAACGGTGAACCCTGAACCCTAGACCTAAACCCCAACCCCTAAAACCCTAGGCCCTACAGTAAACCCCAAACCCAAACCCTGAACCCTGAACCCTGAACCCAGCACCCGAAGAATCTAAAACCCCACCAGTCTGACCCCTAAACCAGTCTGGACGTCGACCTGCCTGACCTGGCTGCGAAACTCCATCGATCTCTTTAGGCTTTTGGGGCGTCAGGGCTTGGGGCTTTAAGGGCTTCAGGGCTTAGGGTTGACCTTAAACCCTAAACTCTAATTACTAAATGCAAAACCCTAAACTCTAAACCCTATAACCCTAAACCCTAAACCCTCAACCCTAAATCCTAAGCTCGGGTATCGCTCGCAGGCGCTCGCGCACGTGCCGCCAGTCAACAGCCGAGTCACCAGCTGGGCAAAAACGGAGTATAGGGCTTATGGTTTTAGTGCTTAGGGCCTAGAGTTTAGTGTTTAGGTTTTGCTGTTTAGGGTTTAGGACTTAATCATTGGTCAAGGGGACTTGTAATTCTACTTATGACTACCCATGAACCTCCAAGTAAGGGTGTGGGGTAGCTCGCTGCAACCAGAGCTGAATCGTAGCCAAATGGCGCTGTCGAGCAAGAAGACCACGTGCAATTTCCCTTGAGATGCCCGCCGCCTACACCCTAAACCCTAAACCCTAAACCCTAAACCCTAAGCATAGCATGTCGGACTGCCAACTTCACAGCAGAAGCTTGGTTTGCCCGGCCTTCCGCCCCATGGCACCTGGGCATTTCATTTTTGGAGACCGTGCGCCTTGCAACTTGTGTGACCCTAAGGGTCCATGTACCCAAATAGTAGATACTGTGGCCTTAAAGTAGTCCCCATTTGGG